ATATCTGAAATGTAAATTTGAAAAAGTTGATTTATAAAAACCTTTACATAATAAAAGTTATCAATTCTTAGAATAACTTGTTTTATAGGAATTAGATAAAAGTGACTGTTCTATCCTCTAAAGTGCTAGCTTAGAATAATAATTTATAAATATACAAATTATTATTATAGATGCCAGCATTAGACGAATGTGCCTTTTTGTAATGCCGTCACTTTGCTTTGCTATTCGTGTTCGTATTTGCTATTTGTTAACTTGACATCAGTCTGTCCTTTTACATGTTGATGAAATTTTTGTCCAGTTTACAAATAGGTAATACGAAATGCCGGCACTTCACATGGCGATCATTATTTGCTATTTGCCATTTTGAGAGCAGGTTGTCTTTATCATTCTCTATAGGGAGTGAAAACAAAAAAAAAGTAATTGGTCAAGTCTACTAATAGCAAATTCGAATAGCGATTTGAAATACTGGCCCATCGTTTTTGCTAATTAGAAACTTGACAACAGTTTCTTTATCATGTTTATGAAATGAAAAGCACAGACTGATGTCTAGTTAACAAATAGCAAACATGAACACGGATTGCCATTTAGGCGCTTTGCAGACGACGGGGCGGGGCGAGCTTTTTGTCCGCGAAGCAATAAAAACCGCGTCTGCCCGTCGATGTCTGCGGCTGCCCTCGCCGCGTACACAAAGCACACGACGGGCAGAGGCAGTCAGTTCAGGACGTTCGTTCTAGTCACTAGAATCTAGTGTATAGTCCATCACTAAAAAGCGCGTGGCGCGGACTGAGCTAGCCGCCACGCGCCGCCGTCTGCGTTACTGCATATATACTGGTTTGTATGATCCACGGCGGGCAGCTGCGGACATGCCCACACACACGTCTTTTTGCCCACTTTGTGCTATCGTTCGCGGCGAAATTGACGGGCCCGCCCCGCCCCGCCCCGTCGTCTGCAAAGCGCCTTAAAGTGCCGGCATTACCAAAAGGCACTATTATTTGGGGGTTGATTTTCACTTGTCTAAATCGACCTTATAAGGCGGCGCCTTAACAAAATAACCCTAATCACTTTGTCAAGGTTTAAATTTTATTGAAGTCTCCGAGTGCTGCCGTTATTTTTTCTTTTCAATTATTTCCTTAACTTTGTAACTAATAGGGCTTGATAGTTAAATTTGGAAAAGTCCACTTCATCTACTAGTCAACAATTTTTTAATATTCCAGTATTGAGATACCTATATTGTCCTCAAATGAAATTTAAGAGATACTTACCTTTATAATGTTTTCCTTCGCTGATGTTGATGTATTCCACAAATGATCAATTGTTAAAAAAACTCATATTCATTGTATATTGTCATCCCACTGATGTGATGTAAATACTATTACTGAGTTTTTAGTTTTTTTTTAATGTATGTGAATTGTGTTAATTAAGTAAGTAGGTATAATATTATTAAATTGCGACTTTGCAAATGAATACGTGGTTTTGTTATTTTAACTAAAAGGCTGTAATGATGGACTAGATACAATGGCTTTTATTGAACCAAATACGGGCTGTCTAGTCGAGTGGCTTTTTAGATTTCTTATTTATTTATACAACGTGTAACATAAATCGCACACTCCCTAAAATATGTTTGTTACAAATATACAAGTGAATCTATTTCGGTCATTGTTATTTCATTAATGTATTGACATTATAATTAAATAAAAATGACCGAATTCTTGAGGATTTTATTGTTAGATTTTATATTGAAATCGATGCAGAAGCCGATTCCAATCAAACTACTTTCAGCGAGTGTGTTATTTCGCTTACACGTTGCATATCAAGGTTTACCGACCAAACCTTTATATACATTAAGTTAGCCAAAAGGGTCAAATTTCTCCATCTTATTTGAGCTTTATATTATTGAGTATAAGGTTAACAATCTATTGAGAAACCGACAGTATTTTTTAAAACAAGTTCCGTGTGGTTACATAAGATGGTAAAGAGCTGGAGTGTAGTAAAATCTATACTTATAATAAATCTGTAGAGAGGTCAATTCTGTACATGAAATATATTTTCAAAATAACTATCAGGGGGTGATTAGTGATCGATACTGATGCCAAAAATGCAATCAGTAAAATTTTTGTCTGTCTGTCTGTCTGTCTGTCTGTGTGTATGTTCCTTATAGAAACAAAAACTACTCGACGGATTTTAACGAAACTTGGTACAATTATTCTATATACTCCTGGGCAGGTTATAGTATACTTTTCATCACGCTATAATCAATAGCAGCAGAGTAGTGAAGGGAAATGTTGGGAAAACGGGAGAAGTTACTCCATTTTTAAGCTTCCGTCGCGTGTGCAGCCTTAATGGTTAAAGTTACATAGAAATCATGTATGACAGAAATATTCTACATAAAATTGTCTAAAAAATATCCCGCAACAGCATATGTCTATCTTTTATGGTTGACTCACAATAACACGTGTAATTATATAAATAAAGTCCTTGTTTATAGCACAAGCCTGAGAACAAAAACTATAGTTTACACTACAGCTCTACACCGAAGCGAAGCGAGGGCGGGCCACTAGTGTGATAAAAGTTAAAATATACGTGTAAACAGGAAAGTATATTGTTATGAAGTATGTCAAAATTTTACATCAAATATTTTCTAAGTGCCAACGTCAACTTTAAGTATAGAATTAAGATTGTAGCAACCAGTATTACAACAGTCCGACAAATGACCACCCCACCTGATGGCGCGATAACACTTGGTCGTTACCGAATACGAGTGCCAATGGAATTTGGGTAAACGACTAAGTGTAAATGAACGGAGTCGTGTACGCCCATATTCGGGTAGATTTCCTTTTGTTTACCCGATACTGTCTTCCAGTGTAAATATAGCTTCAGGTGAATGAATATGGGTGACCCACCAAACGTAATGAGGGCTACCGTTTTCTGCCTCACCAGATGGCGCCACTGTTGAGTGAGGTCCTAAATTGTAACTTTTAAAGTTTATTAATACGCACATGAAATCAAAGGTTACATTTAGATCGTATTTTAACACAAAAGAACCAAATCCTAAACATAATAGGCCATGCCACAGTGACGCGCAGTTCCGTTTTATTCGGAAAAAATGGGAACATAATCATTTTTCTAAGCTCAAATTTTTAATAACTGACATTCATTGTCACATAACTCATATTTGCCATAATTAAGCCGAATTGTTACCAATTATTCACAACATTATTTTAATTAGAAATAAACCCGCGTAGTCAACCAACAAGCAATAACATTTGACATTTCGGAGACCTCACGCTACACTAGCGCCTCTAGCGGCGGATTCATACGCGATAGCCCTCATTGCGGCATGATGTTAAGTGACGGTGGAGCCCAGACGCGAAGACACCTGGCACGGCAGGTAAACTGATGGTTATGGAAACTTGATGTCTTTATTGTACATCGATTTATATTAATAAATAAATAAATAATAAATATTTCCAACACTCACACCAATGAACCTAGCCCCAAAGTAAGCACTGTAAGGCTTGTGTTATGGGATGCTAGGGTAACGGATAGAATACATATACTGTACATATATAAGTATATTTATATAGAAAAACATATTAAACATCCATGACTGGAGTACAAATGCTCGTATTCATCACACAAATATTTGCCCCCACCGGGACTCGAACCCGGGACCTCTCGAGTCGGCGTCACCATGAAACCCGGCGTACAAACCACTCGGCCACGGAGGTCATCATCAATTATCTCACGGCTAGTGAAGCATATTGCATAGCCCCCTTATAATGACAGTCCGAACCATAGAGGTATAAGAATAAAGTAGGGGAGATATAGACTACTACAAGTGGAAGTGTCCCTCTAATAGAAAGAGAATGCAGATGAGAGACCGCTAGCTCTCTCTCTAATCGCGCATGCGCATTGGCAACCGTAAGCATCTTACTATTTCGATGTGATGCTTGGACTAACTATTGGACAGACGACTGCGCATGGGTCACAATAGAGAAAGATAGCTACGGTCTCTCATCTTCTTTCTCTTTCTACTAGACACTTTTAGAGCCGCCTTTCCCACTCTATTCTCATACCTCTATGGTCAGAACGCGTTACGAGGATGCGATTGAATGATGGCGCGATTAAACTTGGTCTTACGATACGATTGCCAATGGAATTCGGGTAAACGACTAAATGTAAATGAACCGAGTGGTAATTTCGTTTTGTTTATCCGACATTCCTTCCAGCCCGTATTCCAGTATATTGCTTCGGGTGAAGGAATTCGAGTAATGTCTTTCGTGTACCCGGCTACGGGCTACCGACCAGATATTATTGCGGTATGATGTTAAGTGATGGTGGAGTCTAGACGCGAAGACAGCTGACACGTCAAGTAAACTAATGGTTATGGAAACTTGATGTCTGTAGTGTACATCGATGAATGTTATCTCACTGATAGTGCAGCCTATTGCATAATCCCCTTACCATGACAGGTGCATTCGCCCGGATAGCGAAGGGTGCGAAGGTTCGAGTCCCGTCTGCTGCCTGGTCCGCGTGGATTTTTTTCTAGTAATATTTTCTTGAGATTTAAACATAGAGCAGTTACAGGCCTAGTATTAAAATTATAATAATAATTCTTATCTCACGGCTAGTGCAGCAAATTGCACAACCCCACTTAGCATGACCATCAAAATGCGTTGTCAGAAAGCAATTGAATGTAGTTGACTGTCAAACTATTATGGAGTTTAACAGTCGAGTATCGATTAAAAGCTTTATCATTATTATGTTGCAGGGCTCATGCTACGGGGTCAAATAAAGTGATTTTCGTAATAAATAAGCTAATGAGATAAAATAAATATTTATTTACGTTCAACAACACTATGTGATATCACAATTTGTGCTAATTACAAATTATGTATTTCTATCTTTCAAGTATAGGAAATGGGGAAATAAAATGTTTGTAATACTGTAACAATAAAATGAATTCAATAAAAATATTTACACATAGATATAAAATCAACGAATAATGTCAGGGAATTCTAAAAATATTGTAAATTCTTTTTCTTTTCACAGCCACACTCATTGATTAGTTCTGTTAAATGCTAAATAAGTATAAGTACCTAAGTTACTCATAACTTTTTAAAATTTTCGGTGCATAAATTCCTCTAATCACAATAATTTAATGTAATTAATCTTGACACTATCCAATTATGTTTTAAGTCGAAAAAATAACAACGAGCAAACAAACTCGAAGTGTAAGTATATTCATACAAAAAAAAAGTCTAATAACAAAGCAGCACAACGCGAGACATTTTTTGATAATCTCACTACTGAATTCTAAAGTGCATCTCAGTTCCTGTTCAACTCGTTAAGGATCCTGAGTATATAGAGGAACAAGTTCAGGATGTCCATATAGAGGTTGATTGTGGCCAGAATGTATTCTTCGGGCGAGAGGTAGACCATCATCTGCTGAGTGTCGAAAACGAGGAAGAGGCTGAAGACGATGGCACCACCGAATGATAGGGCGATCTCGAACAAGGAGCTCCGGATGAAGATCTGAATGAGACCTCCCACGATGAGCACGCAGAGAGCGGCCACGAGTCTAATAATAGAAAAAATATAATATATGTAAGTAATTGTCATACTCCACACTAATTAGCTTATGACAAGGGCCACAATCGCGGGCTAAATAATACAATAATTATTGGTTGGCAAATGGCAACTTTATTTATGTACGGTTTGTTGCCAAAGCATCGAATATAATTATTCTATTCAAGAGGTAACTAAAGCAGTAACAAATATTCTGGTTATCTCTCATTCTAATATTAAGGTATTTTGCGGGTATTTTTTATTATCAAGTAGGATCTACCTATCATAAATTGGTATAATCATTTCACGACAATAGCACGAATATCATGCATGATTGACATAGTGATTGAGGTGACATTATAAGCTACCGCCAACAATATTAAATAGCCTAGATACACCACGTGCGCTCAAAGTGTGTCCCAATCAAGAAGTGCTTGAACATGACTCAAGCACTACTTCTTGGTTGACAGTCACGCGCGGACCGTTGAAAAGTCATGCCGCTGAGCTCCGTGAAAATATGAAATGCCGTTTTAGTTCGACAGGTATCTAATCAATGTTTTTTAATTTAACGCATTTGAATTTTTGTTTTAATACTTACTATAAACTGATTTAATAGATAATATTTGTGATATTCAAATGCATGGTCGGTAATATAGCCGTCTCTTTTCCTCGCGGTCCGTACCTGCTATATTGCTAACAGCGCATTCAGAATTGCGCGTAGAGTCAAAGAAATAAGGTCTATAATTCTTCCGCATATAGAAATAAGTAGTAAAATTTTACGAGTATTATCTATTAAATCAGTTTATAGTAAGTATTAAAACAAAAATTCAAATGCGTTCGGACTGTCATAACTCTTTGACGCATGCGTTTTAATTAAGATCTTATTCAGTATGCTTCAAAGGTGATTTTCAATGTTTAAATAATGCCTTATATTGTTTAGAATACGCGATCATCTTACGGAGCTCGGTGGATCGTCCAGTGTAGCTTGTGGACAGGTTTCGGGCATGATTTTGTTCGTGTTAGTGTATCTAGGGTATTTAATATCGTTGCCTACTGCAGACTAAAATAATGACACGACTTATGACTGGGTGGCCAGAATCCTTATGAAATTGTCACTTTTCAAAAAGGCTTTAAAATTAATAGGGGCTAACTAAAAAAGATATATTATCTGTTCATGTTATTACATAAGACAAGCTTTCAAATGACACGTTTCATTGCTGCCGGAAACCGTCTCCTTTGTCCCACTGGGATTCGAACCCAGAACCTCCGAGAAGGCGACACTTGGATAAGTGTGCGTGAAAATATAAGTGTTTCTTATATTTTACCAGTCCAGCGCTATTAGATTGCTGGGCATTAACCAAGCATAAGTACTTATATAAGTCTTACCCATATCCAATGAATGAGAAGTCGCGTTTAGTGTTGAGTGTGTACAGGGTGAGCCCGAACACGACAGAGAAGGTGATCCCGAGGGCTTGCAGCACCACCAATGTGTCGCAGAATGACACTACGACGCCTATGGAGTACGCTTGCACCACAGTCTAGGAAGAATAGTTTACAGTAATGTATATTATTTACGAGATTGTTACCATGCACCTTGTTTTTACCGAGTTTTTAATATTTTCTATCCTGTGGTTCGTATGAGTAAAAACTGGAATAATAAAAAAGTGTCGTGTCGCGGTCCGATACTGTGAGTGTTGTGTGTCGAGAACAGTTTTGAATGAATAGTGAGAATGTAAACAGTGGTACAGGTATCGAACGCAATAAAAGACTTCGTCGGAGGGTAGGCCGATATGTCTGCTAATAACAACATACCCGCAATTACTTCAGTTACTCTGTGATCATGGCGCTTGCAACAATGCCCAAGTATCGAAAACTTGCTAAAAACAAGGTACATGGTAACAATCTCGTAAATAACATAAATTATTATAATGTTTAAAACAAGAGAATAGTTTACATTCATAAAGAAGTAACAGAACAAGAACTAAAGCATAGAAGTAATGCTATGACGTTTCAGCGTACATTTCCGCATAGACTATATACGTATTACCAAACAAAAAAGTATGAGTGGCGTGTTGGTGGGTTGCATTGGACTTAAGATCGCTTTTTGATTCGGTATCGTAAAGGTAAACAATTTAACTAATAATAACCAATTGGCTAGTTGACACTTTTGGAAGTATGTTTAAAATGTTTGATAATTGTTCTATTAGACCGAAAAAAAATATTGTATTTTTTTTTACCTAGAAAGCCACAAAACTTTAATTTTAAAATAGATTTTTCATAGACATACAAAAACGCTGTCGGCCATTTTAGTCTAAAGATTATCTATGCTACGACGTCTAAAAAACTGTAAACAAACACTCGCAAGCACGTAGGAAATAACCTATTTGAATTTATATTATAAAACCATGATTTCTAATAGATTTCATAATAAATATAGTAATAACTATGATTGTATGGTACGAAATGTAGAAAAACATCGTTAAAGACTCCAGAATAGTTGTGGTTTAAATTGCCTAGAGAAATACACATACCCACACATGAACACACGTTTAAAACTTGCTTAATCCTGTAACTTTATCGTCTGAAAGTAATTTTTTTAGCAAAGATCACTTCAATGTATGTACTCATTGAATAATATTTAAAGTTTAAAAAACAATTTTTAAGGTTATGAATGCATCTACTACGTCAAAGAGTTTTGTCGTTTCTGCTTTCACAAATCCGGTGTCCAGAATTAATTTACTCAACAAAACCAATAAACGGAAACTTTTCTACAAGGTTCAAGAGTTTTTAAACTATTTTTTTTATGTTAGTCCAACGAAAGAAACCACAGTAACACGACAATGACGTTTAGTTGTTTACAAATTTTGTGACATCACAATCACGGTGGACTGCGTTTTAGTGTTTAAAAAGATTAATTTGAAAAAACTTTTTTTCAAATTAAATGACTACAGCCATCTTCTTATTTCATGAAGTGAAATCGATGTATTTAGGTACCTCATACCAAAAATTATAAGAAATGAACATTTTTATAGTGCAATTTGACATGCGTCAACTAGCCTATTATGATAACAATATTGTATGTTAAGATGCTAGATAAGCATACTGTAAGGGTTTTCCCTCGGTTGATATTTTTTTTGTCTGATATCTGATACTAAAATTGTACCTTCTCTTAAAAATATTAGAAAATTATAAGGGAATTAATAAATGGCAGAGCTTTATTACTTTTTAAGCTTTGTTAAGCGTATGGTTTTCACTGTCCCTAAAGTATTAAATACCTAGTAACTATGAGAACGCGAAATGCTCGCTCACGCTTTTCTGTCCATAATAACTTTACATCTGTTACTTTCTATATTTGAAAACCTCCGTGGTCGAGTGTTTTGTACGCCGGGTTTCATGGTGTCGCCGACTCGAGAGGTCCCAGGTTCGTATCCCGGTGGGGGCAGATGTTTGTGTGATGAATCTCTCGAGTCGGCGACACCATGAAACCCGGCGTACAAAACACTCGGCCACGGAGGTCGCCAAGTAATTACTTGCAGTATTGGCTATAATTTCAACATTTTTAATACCTAGATGTGACTCGCATTTGATTATATTATATTTTATTTCAATAACAAATTGACTTTTCACGTCACTATTGGAATGTGTCAAAACGGCCATCATAGCATGCTGCGACTACATGTGATTTAAGATTGAGAATTTGATTAATGAGCATTTGTGAGTTTCAGCTGTATTAAGCCTCGCCCACATCCGTGCAAAAATCTTGGTACTTAATGCGCTTAAATATTTTATCGTTAGTACACTCTTTCAGCAGCAAAAATTATCATCTCCCACAACCTCTTATGCGTGTCAAAAACCGCCAGACAACTATCGTGGCGTGACCTGGCGTCATTCGTAACGCAACTCGATAATTTGTGAAATTTGGGTTTTAGAGTGTAACCTTGAAATTGTCATGAAATTGGTTCCGAGCTAATAAAATATTCATAAAACGCTAGGTACTTACAAAAGCAGCTAACAGATACAGGTTTGCTGGATAGTCTCTCCTCTTTGCGATCAGGGCAATCAATGTGACAATGCTCAATATGAATGCTATGAACACCATCCATTGGCTGGAATAAAGATGAAGATTATAAATCATTAATTTATGTACATTGCTTTGAACTGTTGACAATATCACAAAATCTTAAAAAAATTGTCAGTATTATATTATATCATATTGCAATGCTCATGCTAGGGGGGCTGTATTGTTTTATTGATATTTACAGCATAAGTTGCATAGAAATCAATGTCATATGTAATCCTGATATTATTTCACTGACTTACTTTGTGTGTATGAAACTTTGGATTGGTTTCACCAGCATGAACACACTGGAGATTGCAACAGTTGCTAATAGTTGCATCGACAGTAATCCATACACTTTGCGCACAAAAGCCAATCTTATCTCCTTGTCAGCATTCTTTACATTGTTCCTGTATGCAAAGTCATCCTGAAAGAAATGAAAGAATTATGTTATTAGTATTTATAACAATATATGTTTCAGGATCTTAGTTTATATACATATTATATTTTTGTGGATTTATATAAAGATGCTTGAGAAGTAGCTTGTGCTACGTTAATGTATATTTCTAGTAACAAGATTGCAGAGAGCGAAAGGAAAACTTTCTGTTTGTTAATAAACATATCCAGTCTCTGTAGCATGAGCTCCTCAATTTACATTATATCACGTTTTTTATCGCATCTAACTGTCAAACTCCAAAGTTATTTGACAACTGAGAGTGATAAAAACGCTCTGTATACCATATTGCGGCGCTCATGCTAGGAGGGCAGGGCATTCTATCTGTATAAAGTTTAATAAAAATTTGCTCAAACAGAAACATTTAGGAAGAGTTGAGACTGCCTTATGAAAGTTTGCTATGGCTTTTGTACATGAGTGGTGCAATCTGAGCAAAAAAAAAGCACATTCTTCCTGTTAAACAGAATACTACACCTGATACAGCAGTATTATAGTGACTCATAGCTGATAATTTTGATAGAGACATTATGATCAACTTTCTAAAAACACATTAGCTTTTAATTAAGATTACTTTCCAATTAGTAAAATGTACTTTTACTTTTTCGGAATAATAAAGAGTTCTTGCAAATATTAAAGCAATTTAACCATTATTTTAATGTAGAGATGACACAATTATCATTGTGCTTATCGGTAATAGGGCAATAATTTATGGATTATAATGGTAAACTGACACGTAAGTAATTAATTTATAACACCATCCCCTACATGTAATCATAGTTTTGGGTTTCACATTCCAGTAGAAACTTAATATAAACATACATATCAAAACATAATTACAAGGTCGTTTTGCGACTGTGGCTGTTTCTATAGATGAGGACGTGATGTTGTGAAAGGAAATTACTTTTGTAAACATTCACCTACCTCTATATTTTCTTTTCCCCCGAGCTCACAATCTTCTTGAGCATACATTAGAGGTATAGATGCCATTCTTGTAGATTAATAGCACAAATTAGGTCGTTGAAAACGTTTACTGTGTTAAAAACTTGAATATTGGGCGTTTTTTAACTGCTGATTGGGGTTTCTCCCCGTAAAAGCCAAACAAACATGAGCGTTGTGACGTAGGTACCAAATCTGTCTTAATGACAGCTGTCAAAAGTAGGGCTGCCAATGTAAATTCCCGATTCCCCAATTTAGGCGTCTCCCTCACCGAATCGTTTTGTTTTCGTTTCAGATTATTTGCCAAAACTTACTTCTTGACCAGCTTGGTGCGGTATCGTTTCGCTTTGTTTGCTACGGTGTTTGTCATTTGTTATAGAGGCGTCTCGTTAGGCGGGCGAGGAAAGTGCTTCGGTACGATTATGCCCACCGAATTTCCAGCATTATAATAATTAATAACAAACACCGTAGCAAACAAAACGAAAAAATACTGCACCTCAACTGAACCAGTCAAGAAAAGATTCTAGGTAAAGAAACTGTATCGATTCGGCACAGAAATTAAAACGAAACAATCCGGTGGGAACGGGGTCTAAATATGAGCTTCTTTACTGAGTAATTTTGGTAAAGCTTATTTATCGAGCGCATACACACTCTTAGACTATAAAACACCTATCATAGCGTGCCGCGACTATAATTATCAAACTTGTTGTCCACACTACCCGAAACCTATTTGATTACCCCAAAATCAGGGAATATTCCAAAATTGACAGTACTGGTCACGAGTGCAGAATCATTGTTGCCATTTAAATAATTCTTCAGAGTTGGGTATTATTTCTTCCAGGTGCTGGAATTATTATTTTTGTGTGTTTTCATATTTTAAGAACGGATCCCTTAATCGAAAAATTTCCTTAACAAAGACTCAATATTATTGAGAGACCTATTTGAGAACATTTCACATGGTGAGGTAGAAGTTAAAAAGAGAACTTTAAGAGGCTGCGCTGCGTTACGCGGGTCGCGGAGCGGGCGTCTGTTTGACGTGCAGTTTTTTTGTCATTTGAAAGACACCCGCGGCGTGGGAGACCCGTCTCACGCAGCGCTGCCCAATCACCGAGCGGTCGCCCGCTCCTTGCCTCGTTTTAAGCAGTGCAGGCTCTTAAAGTTCTCTTTTTCTCGTCTATCTCACCATGTGAAATGTTCTCAAATTGGTCTCTCAATAATATTGAGAGTTGGGTAAGATAATTTTTGGACTGGGTTCTTAGTCCAGGCAACGAATGCTCAAAAACAGGTATAGAGGAAAATGCTTGGAACACAATTTTTGACTTCGTAACTTTGTTAGGACTAGTTAGGAGGTAAACATATCAAAAGTCCCTGCCCGTAGCCCTTAAGCCGGGGGGAAGGGGGGGGGATTGAAGGTCCCATTTTTAGCGCGCCATTTATGCGAAAAAGCATATATCTCGGAAACTATGCATCCTAGCGACATGAAACTTCGCCAAAAGTGAAAGCTGATTAAATTTGCTACAAGTCTTATTCAGTCAAGTTTTTTGATGTCTTGTATAGTTTTCGAGATATCCGCTCTTGAAAGTCTGTAATTTTTTTTGCCACCACTTCCTGGGAATGCTGGTTTACTGTTCCCTCGGTGAGAGGAAGACAAGAGATATCAGGCTTGATGGTGGCCACTGATTTCAATGACTTGTACCTGTAGGCATTGAGGGAAATCTCTTTCGCTGGAGCTCCATACCACCTTAAGATGCAGGTTTCACTTGCCTTTTGTATTTGAGCGGTGGTGGAGAAAGGGTGTGAAAATACCGCTGCTGCTTTCTGGATTTCTGGTGACTTGATAATGTCTCTGGTCTCTGGAAAGGGAGGAAATTACTCAAACCAATCGGTGAGCTTGGCAATGTCAGCTCCATCCTTGTTTTGGCGGGCTTGTCCGAAATCTGCATGTTGCTCACTGGTGGAACCAACAACCGGCATTGTTGAAGAGTTATCCGGTCAAATAGAGCAAAAATGTGAAGCAATTTTTTTTCCATAGTTACAGACTTTCAAGAGCGGATATCTCGAAAACTATACAAGATATCAAAAAACTTGACTGAATAAGACTTGTAGAAAATTTAATCAGCTTTCACTTTTGTCAAAGTCTCATGTCGCTAGGACAAATCCAAATCATACAAAAGCAGGCTTAACGAGGAATTATGTTTGTCACTCTTGAAGTCTTGACTAAACACCTGAAGTCCTGACCCCTCGTTTCCACCAGGAAACAAGTTATATACTAGTTTGAGTATTGTATACTAAATTTCTTAAACATGTATATAAGTGTGAATAAAAAATTAAAACACTGCATAAAATTTGTTAAATACATGTATTTTACCTTGGTGTAAACGAGGGGTTACTATGATAACATGGTGGCAACTCTGTTAGACTTTTGACTCTCTCAGATTGTACAAAGATGCAAAATGCCATTCACAGAGACGGCCTGTGCCTGTGCCCCAGCAGTGGGAACATAAAGATGATATGCATCTGAACATGTATTTATACCCCTAAATTTTTTTTCACACCGAGCTCACAATCTTCTTGAGCACATTTTTGAGGTATTTCAGCAGCCATCCTTGGTGCTTATAAAATAACACTTCTTGAAGTTCTTGAATAAAAAAAACGAACCAACTTATTTTTCTAATTGGACATTTTAGTGAAATCAAAAAATGCGAGTGACGGACAACAAGAATAAGACAGTGAATTATTCATGGAGGATGGATTTTGCAAAACGCTTAGGATTACTTTTTTTTTTTTTTTTAACATTCACACTAATTAGCCTAGCCCCAAAGTAAGCACTATAAGGCTTGTGTTATGGGATACTAGGGTAACGGATAGAATACATATACTTTACATATATAAGTATATTTATATAGAAATACATATTAAACATCCATGACTGGAGTACAAATGCTAGTGTTCATCACACAAACATCTGCCCCCACCACGATTCGGACCCAGGACCTCTCGAGTCGGCGACGCCATGAAACCCGGCGTACAAACCACTCGGCCACGGAGGCCGTCACTTTCTCTATGGGATTTCGCTATAGAGTGAGATTCCAGCAACATAGATGCCCAGCAAGGATCCCAGTCACCCCAGGCCCCAGGCTGACGTGATTTTAGGGGAACAACGTACGAGCCTCGAACCGCGGTGGATGGCCGAGGAGCGGTGCCGCGTGGGAGCGCGGATTCTCTTGCGGAAACGGCGTGGACGGCTAGTCCATTTTCCGCCCCTTTCTCAGCATCCACCATAGACTACATAATGAAATTACTTTATTTCCAACTTTTATCTAAATAGATTTAGAAATTTAGGAAAAAAAAATTATTACAAGCACTCCAATTTGGGAGTAGGTATTTGTTATATCTAGTCTATTATAAAATATCTTTTTATAACTAGTTAGGTAAGGTACACAGTACTTAACATAGGGTTAATTTTTCACATTAAGTAAATACTTTTAATGTTAATTATTTTTACAAATTGTACGGGTACATTACATAGGTATTAAAGTAAAATAAAATGTTGTACTTGTATTGTTTAGTACACACATTGATATGCCTTTGGATCTATCGAAAAATAAAATAAAACAGCAATAGTTGGCGTTAGAAATAAATTTAATCAACCACAGTCGTCAGCCGCGCCGTGGCCGCGCCGCGCTGCACTGAATCATGTACGAAGATGAAAATTTATTTATCTCGTAATGAAATCACGTCGGGAGTTCTGTGCCCCAGATTCTAATGTGGATATTCCAATTGTACAGAGGCCCAAGCACTAATTTTGACAGCTCCGTAATTGTATCACTTCGTCAAAGATATGAAAACTAACCAGCTCCCATTTCATCATCATAGCGTATGGCTGATGGAACTGCATCATCCTAAACCTTGATTTTCAAGTTTTTCAGCCATTCTATGACCGCAGGCAAGGCACCGATATTAATATCGTTGTCCGCGGTCTTTAATTCGTTGAGATCCTTTAAGCCGCCAGGATAACGGTACAGTGGGCAGTCTTCGGTAACGTGGAGTATGGTTTGGTCCGGGACCCCGCACTCGCAGGCTGCTGTGTCCTTAGGTCCCCATTTGTGCAGGAGGTGGTTTAACCGCCCGTGTCCTGTTCTAAATCTGTTCAGTTTGACCCACAATGTAGGTACGTTGGATATCGCATCCCGCCGGCTTGTTCGTCGGGTCCGGTAACAGTTAATTATGTGGGTGGAAAAAGCACACCACGCCTCCCTCATTCTGGAAGGAGTTGCGTGGCATGCAACAGACCAGTACCTACCTACTCTTAGCATGAACCAATATCGAATTCGAATAGTTTGCGAGTCCGGAATGTCATTGTTAAATGTGTACTGGTTTTTAGATCTTGTTACGTACTTTGTGGCGTTGTTGTTCAAGTTTCCATACAAAATTTGACATTCACATTTCGGTTTGCAAACTATTCAAATTCGATATTGGTTCGTGCTAGGGGTACAGTACCCCTAGCTAGAACCAATGTCGAATTCGTATCGTTTGCGAGTCCGAAATGTCAGTGTCAAATGTGTACTGGTTTTTAGTTCTCGTTACGTACTTTGTGCCGCTGCTGTTCAAGTTTCCATACAAAATTTGACATTGACATTTCGGTTTGCAATCTATTCAAATTCGATAATGGTTCGTGCTAGGGG